AAAAAAAAAAAAAAAAAAAAAAATCTGCCTGAGGGCTTGGGCAATTGAGAGGCCCTGCTGACTGCACGCCCTGCAGCCCACGGGAGCCACCTTGACCCCAGGCTCTAAAGCCATGCAGACCAGGGATCAAGCCCAGCTCCAGGCTCAGCAGCAGCAGGACCTTGGGGTGAGCTATTCTGACCATCTGAGCCTCCATCTGCTGTAAAATGGGAAGGATACAGTCCACCAATGTAGTCCAGCTCACTCAGGCGTTTAGGGGGATTAAGCAGGAGGACTTGTTCAATGGCACAACCCAGCACCTGGGAGGGGGAGGGCTCAACAGCACCCCAGCTGTGATTCCTGTGACTTCTGTACCTCACTGACACTAAGACCCATTTCCGTACATGTTGATATCCCCAAAATCGAGGTGCACTTATCACAAATCGAGGCTTTGTGATAAGAACGCTTCTGGTCATCAATAAATTGGCAGCTTCTTGTTCTAAGCTGGTGGTAAATAAAATAATGGGGCCTCTTATCATTGATGGCCCCATTTCGATTGTATGAAATACAGTATCTCCCCCACCCTCCACTCCTCAATAGGCAGATCTGTAACCCCCTCCCCAGAGGCCTTCCAACTCCTGTTCCTCCATCCCCCCCCCCCCCCCCCATGCCCTGGCCAGGCTGGACACTCACAGCTCTGTGTCCTCCAGGGCCGGCGGGCGCTCCATCGCCTGCCGCCGCCTCCTCACGGCCCCCAAGATCTTCTTTCGGGGCCCCAGGGGGACGCTGATGCTGCGGAGGTCGAGGTCAGAGCACAGCATCAGAGCTTCGAGGTCGATCTTCTCCTGCCGCAGGAGGGCGGCAAAGTCCTCCATGTGCAGAGAGGCCAGGAAGGTCTCTAGCGGGCTGGTCTCGGGCTCCAGGTCTTCGTCCAAGCCCAAGTCCAGCTCGTCCCAGGGCAGCTCCTCCCCACAGCTGCGGTCCTGCAGGCTGTTGGCACTGCCCAGGCTGTCGTCGTCCAGGCTGGGGGAGCTCTGCAGCCGACCCCTCGGCGCGCCCACCCCGTCCAGCCCCCCATCCTCGCGGCCCAGTCCCTGAAGCCCACTGCTCAAGTAGTTTCTGCGGAACACCATGGTGCCCAGGCCGGGGCGGGTAAACAGGGAGTCGTGGCCTGAGTCGGTGCTGACCTCCGAGTGAGCAGGCTCGGCCGCCAGCGTGGCACGGGAGACGCTGTCCTCGTCCGAGAGGAACATGTCCCGGAGCGGGGCTCGGCCCCACTCCTTGGGGTTGGCGTAGGTGCCCTGGCGCACGAACATCACATCACTGCCCAGCTGCAGGCCGGAGAGCGAGCGCACGCTCTTGCGCCCATCCTCGGAGACCTTGAAGGTGCCTTCGCCGCCCTGCTTTCGCCGCTCCAGCTTCTTCTGCATCTTGGTCTTGCCCCTGGACGTGCCGTGCAGCGTGGCTTGCGAGTAGGGCAGGTGGCTGCTCAGCGCCAGGTGCTGCAGCCGGCGGCTCAGGGTGCTGGACGTGAGGCTGGAGAAGCTGAGGGTGTCGGAGCGCTCGGCCAGCTCGCGCCGGTAGCGCCGCTCCATGCGCTCGTGGTGCTTGCGCTGCAGCTTGGCGCACTCGCGGATGCGCCGCTCCGCCTCGCGGAAGGCCTTGTCCTTCAGCTTGCCCACCAGCTTGGGGTTGAGGCTGCTCTGCTTGGCCGCGATGGAGTCCAGGTAGCGCACGCACTCCATGTGGCCCTTCATGGCGGCCATGTCCAGCGGCGTGTGGTAGTCATTGTCTAGGCACCAGATGTTGGCCCCGAAGGACACCAGGAAGGACAGGCAGTGCAAGTGGCCATTGGAAGCTGCCAGGTGCAGGGGTGTGTTGCCCCAGATGTCACACTTGTCCGGGTCACCCCTGCAGGGAAAGCACACAGGAGGGACAGGTGACGAGTCCTGGTTGGTGATGGAGGTGGAGGGAGTGGAGGTGAGGAGGGGAGCTTCCCCACGGCCACAGCGGGCCCCAAAGGGACCGTGACCCTGCGACCTCTTCGACTCCAGGACACCTGCAGGCCTAAGCCACCAAACAGACCTGGGGTGAGCCCAGGGGAAAATGGCCCCAGGTGTGCAGGGGGTGGGGTGGCAGAGAAGGCGGGCCCGGGGCGGGGCCTTCCCCGAGCGGACTGAGGGCTGGGAATCTCAGGGGATAAATATTTGATGCCCTGAGAGAAGGGAGTGAATTATTCATGGGGCCCTGAGCAGAGCTGGCCCAGAGCAGTGGTGGGCCAGGGCCCCTGGGTCTCTAGGCAGGTGTGGTGAGAGTGACTGTGTGTGCCCAGTGACCGTAAAAGAGAAAGACCAGAGGGTGGTGTGTGCCGGGCCCCAGCCCCGGGTGAGTGTGTGTGAGGTGTGGGCTTGCGTGTCTGCGGGCACGGCCCTGTCTGCAGGGAGCAGGGCCAGGCCTGGCAAGCCCGAGTTCGAGAGGTGTCGGGCCTTGGCCTGGACCCGGAGGGGAGTGCCGGGGCAGCCAGGACTGGAGGGGAGGAGGAGGGAATCAGCTGCCCATGCTCCAAAGCCCTCCCCTCCCCAGGCTGCCCTCTCTTTGGTATCCCTGAGAGGCTGGCTCACTTGAGCCTGTCCAGGGACCCCCGACAGCCCCCACAAGCACCTTCACACCAGAATGTGTCCCCCAGGGGAAACTCCCAAGACCCCTCCGGAGCTCTCCCTCCCTTGGGGGCCCAGCACAGCACCCCTGCCCTGCGCTAATGAGGCCATGAGGCCACCCCCCAGGCCTGGGGGAAGAATCACTCCTTTGTCTCAACAGCTCCCCGCACACCCCCTCCTGGGCCTCCCCTCCCGGCTTCCAAGTCCTGCAGGCCAGTGTGGGAAGGGCCCCCGGCACCCGGCCCACACCCCATCAAACACCAGTCCTGACCTCTGAAGGACTTGGGGCTTGGTGTAGCCAAAAGGAGCCCTCTTCCCCTACTCCCATGAGCCTCTCTGAAGGGGTGACAGGGGCCAGTGTCACTGTTTGCCCTCCTGGGGTGGGGAGGGGCCAGTCAGCCTTGGCCTCCCATGACATGGCACAGCTGTCCAGGCTCCAAGGCTGCTCCCACCTGAGGCTGGGCCCAAGGAGAGGGCAAGAGGGAGGGGTCTCCAGCACCCACGACATGTTCAGGCCACAGCCCAGTGCCTGGCACCAGGGCCAGTTCAGCCCCTGGCCCTCTCTCCCATGACCTGCGACTTCACATCAACTCTCCTGGGGTGTCCTGTCACCCCTCATCCTGTCCAGGCCGCCCTGGTGTCCAGAACAACCTGACTTCTCTTTATAAAGCCATTGGACCTGAGAGAGTTGGTCACAGTCCTTTGACTTTAGCCCCAAGGAACCTACCTCAGTAGCTCTGGTCCTGGAGGTGGCTCAACTGACACCTCCAGGCCCTGTCCCTGGCGCTGACACCTGCACTGGATGCCCACCCCTCCCCCTCAGACAACTCCAAAGGGAGGGAGAGGGGAGAGAAGCCCCTTCAGGGTGAGCACATCACAGTCTCCCTGTAGCTTAGCTGTGCCTGGCTGTAGGGGAGGGGCTTGGAAAGAGTTAATGGGGTGGCTGAACCAGTGACATTTGGCACTGTGGACAGTGTCCATAAATCCCAGAAATGAGCAGGGTGAGGGTAAGTGCCGTGTGACACTAGCCTGCAGGGAGGAGGTGGGTGCCGGCTGGGAGAGCCCTTTGGATCAAAGGCTGGAGAGTGGGCAGTGAAGACCCCCTCCCTTCCTACCCCCCACTGCTGGCTCCTCCAGACTTCCCAGCCTTCTCTGGGTGTAAGCCCCTCACACTTGCTCCAGGAGGACCCCAGCCAGGGAATCTCTCCCACCTTACCCTCACTCTGCAGCAATCCCCCATAATCAGGAACCCCCAAATCCCAGTTTCTCCCCTCCTAGCCCCAAATCCAGGTCACAAATGTTACAAGTGTCAGATGCCTCTGCTTGGGTCCCCCTCCACGTGTGTCTCTCCCACCAACAGCAGGGTCTAAGGATGCACCTGTCTGCAGGGGAAGGAAGGAGCTCCAAGGAGGAGCGGAGGAGCCCAGGGGTTTCAGGGGCTTCAAGGGCGGGGCTTCAAGGGTGCTGGGTGGGGTGTACTTACCCGCGGCTCACAATGAGGCGCAGAGACTCAAGGTTGCCGTGGTAGGCAGCCCAGAGAGTGGGGGTCATGCCATCCTCGTCGGGGGCATTTAGCTCCTTCCGGGTGGCCTCCTTAAGGAGCTCCAGGTAGCCATCCCGGGCTGCCCGGTGGTACTGGTCGTTCATGGCGCCCGACGTGGATGGGGCGGGCGGGGGGCACCGGGAAAGGCCCTCCGCATGGGAGGGCGGCGGGGTTAGGGCTGAGGCATGAGGTTGGGGGAGGGGGGCCAGGCAGGGGCCGGGGCCACCAGCCCCCGCTGCCGCAGACGGAGGGTGCGGAGCGCCAGAGCCGCAACTACTGGGACATCTGAGCCGCTCACCCGGAGGCGGGGGTGGGGGGACTCTCCCGCTGTCCAGGGAGCCGCCCCCGGCTTTCCCCTGGGTCCTAAACACCCCGCACGCACCTCAAAGCACGAGGGTGACCCACGCGAGACCCTGCCACCCCTTTTCAAAAGTGCCCACCCCGGGGCCCCGCCCCAATCCGGGGACAGACAGGTGTCCGTCCTCACTAGATCCTGGGGCGCTGTGGCTCCCGATTTCTCCACCTGTCAGTAGAACAAGCCGAGAGCTGGGGAGGGGTGCCGAGGGCGGGGTGTGGGAGCTGCCCTGAGTCCCAGGACAGTGGGCCTAAGAAAGGGCACGAGCACCGACCGCGGTGCGGTGAGCGAGTGGGTCTCCGCGGGCACGGCCGCCGCCGTCCGCACGAGTCCCTCGGCCGCGCTCCAGCAGGGGGCGCTAGAGGACTGGCAGCCGCTCCGCGCGCCGCGTGGAACTTCGCACCCAAGCCCGGACTTCGCAGCATCCAGCGGAGTGGGGACCGGGGGGCGGGCGGGGCGGCGGGGTAGCGGAAAAGGGAGCTTGGGTCACTGCGAGGACCGTGCGGGGAAGAGGACTGGGGTTTCCATCCCGGGCAGCAGCAGAGGAGCACGAGGATACAGGGTGCGCCGCGGCTGGAAGGCGTCGGGGTGCCCGCGGGCTTTCGGGACGTCTCTTGAGCTTAGCTCTCGGGGCTCTGGGCGCCTGGAATGCTGCGCGCCAGGGCGCGGTGGGCACCGGGGGCGGGGTGCCCTCTGGGTGCCGCAGTGCGGGGCCGCACCCGAGCCTGGCCGCACTGGGGTGACGGAGTGGGGTCGCCTCTCAAAGCGTAAATATGAATCTTGCCTTATCTGGCTCCCACGGGCTCCTTCCTAAATTCACCTTGGAGAAAGATGGATCATGTGAGCGGGACTGAGAGCTTTATGGAGCCGAACTCCCGCAGCTGTAAATCACCCTGTCCTCCTGGGTATAAAGCGCCTGTCCAGCCCGGCGTGGGAGAGAGGAGACGCTCGCCGTCCCCTGACCCCCAGCTCAGCGCCGGCTCCAGGCCCAGCCAGGTGGGTGCCCGGGGCCAGAGGGCTGTCGGACTTGGGGAGTGGGGACCCTTGGTGGGGTCCGACCCGGTGCTGCCACTTCTCCTTTCTTTCCTGTCCGGCGAGAGAAGCAGGTTCTGCGTTTTCTCTTCCCCTTTCCCAGCGCTTCCTCCAGCACCCGAAGCCCCCACCCTGTGGGTCGGGAACTCCCTAGTCCCCAAATTTAGGGATGAGATGGTGGAAGGAGAGCCGTCGGGGTTGACCCGGGGTCCTGTCCGCTCCTCCCCCACAGTGACCTCTCTAGCCTCCGCCAGTCGCCCCCGCCATGTCCGAGGAGCTGGCCCCCCGCCCCAATGAGAGCCCCCTGGCGCCACAGGCGGGCCCCAGGGAGGTGTGGAAGAAGGGCGGCCGCCTGCTGTCGGTGCTGCTGGCCGTGAACGTGCTGCTCCTCGCCTGCACGCTCATCAGCGGCGGAGCCTTCAACAAGGTGGCCGTGTACGACACCGACGTGTTCGCGCTGCTCACCACGATGATGCTGCTGGCAGTGCTCTGGATCCTCTTCTACCTCCTCCGCACTGTGCGCTACCCCGGCGCGGTGCCCTACCGGGATGCACACGCTGGCCCCATCTGGCTCCGAGGTGCCAGGGGAGGTGGGGTTGAGGTAGGGTGGGCACAGCAGGGACCTGTAGGCTGAGGGTTTTGCAGGAGTTGCAGCGGTGGTTGATGTAGAAAGGTGAGAGCTTCCCTAGGGAGGACCAGGAGGGCCGGATGTGGCTGAGGGTGAGGTGGGCTGCAGTTAAGGAAAAGGGGAGGGAAGAGGTCCTGGGGGAGAGATGAGTAGAGGGATGGATGAAGGGAGACCTCTTTGCCACCGGTCGGAAAATTGGAGAAGGCTGGCCGCCCGAGGGCCTTTGATGGAGAGCAGGAACCAGAAGACGGGAGCCACTGAAAGAGCCCTGTCAGGGCTCTCTGTGGTATCTACACAGCCGCAAAGAAGAAAGGGGGGGCTTGGTAGCATGTCCATCCATCCCCCCCCTCAGTCATACACTCACCCTTCCATCCACCCATTCGCCTTTCAGTCTGTCTATCCGCCTATCCACCTATCCTCCCACCCTCCCCATTAATCCATCCAACGGTCACTCACTCACCCATCCGCCCACCTGCCCAGCCTCCCATCCTCAGGGACTGTCATCTCGCACCAGGTGGGCTGGTGCTGTTTGGAGTCTGCACTCTTGTCATGGATGTCTTCAAGACCGGCTACTACTCCAGTTTCTTTGAGTGCCAGTCGGCCATCAAGATCCTGCACCCCCTCATCCAGGCTGTGTTCGTCATGATCCAGGTGGGTGGAAGAGTGTCGCTGTGTGGGAGAAAGGAGCCAGCAAGGGGTCAGAGACCTGAGCTCCACCTGCCTCCTATCCTGAGCAATTAAGCAAACTGGGAACAGGGCTGTAGGGAACATCACAGGAGTCCATCAATGTGGGAACACCGCATAATGAAGTGATATCCCAGTGTGAGCTCCCACCTGGAGCTCTGCAATGTTATTTCAACCTAAGAAGTGCCAGTAGTTAACACCTAGGCGGTGTGAGTTGTGACAGCCAGCTTTGTCTCCTAGCACCTGGCCTGCCCTCCTTGGGTGCCCATAGGGGGCATCCATGTCAGCCCAGGGTCCTGCCAGCTTGGCCCTTCTGTTCTGTATTTATTCAGAAATAAGGTCTGACTGTAAGTGGGATTTCTCAAACATTTCTTTTGTTGTTATTGTTGTTGCATAAACAATACTTTGAAAGAGCTTCTGATTGAGCTGAGACAGGACTGGCCTTAGATGGGATCAGAAAAGCCCCCAGCCTTCTATCATGACCAGAATGGCACCATGGATGATGCCCTCCCCAGAAACATCACCCCTGCTGCCCAGGTTTCCACAATTCAGCACACGGCTGGCTGTGGCATTTATGCAGCTTTAGTCTTTCACATTTTACGGGTTTGAAGAATACTCAGGTAAAATGAAAATATAGATATTCCCACATCACCAAATGGCATGGCAGGGATTCACAGGCAGCCAGACAACAGCAAGCCCTGGCAGGGTGACAGAGGAAGAGGATGAGCAGGGGATGTTGTCAAAGGAAGGTGAGAAGTCCACAGAGTCTCCTTCCACCCTGAGCAAGACCTAACCTCAGGCCAGCCTTGCTCCCAGAAAAAAAATAACTAGGTAGTCAAAACTTTACTTGACCCCCACCTCCACACAAAATAAACCCCACCGCGAGTGGAGTTTCACATGTGACACTTTGCAAACCTTTAAAGAATGGAGAACCACTATTTTATACAAATCGTGCAGCAGAATAGAAAGAGACAGTGCTCCCCACCTCGTTTCTTTGAGACTTAGTCTCGCTCTGTCACCCAGGCTGGAGTGCAGTGGCACAATCTCGGCTCACTGCAGCCTCCACCTCCCAGGTTCAAGCGATTCTCATGCCTCAGCCTCCCAAGTAGCTGGGATTACAGGCACATGCCACCATGCCCAGCTAATTTTTTGTATTTTAGAAACAGGATTTCGCCATGTTGGCCAGGCTGGTCTTGAACTCCTGACCTCAAGTGATCCACCCATCTCAGTCTCTCAAAGTTCTGGGATTACAGACGTGAGTCACCATGCCCAGCCCCCATCTCATTTTGTGAAGCTAAAATAAACCTGGTAACTCAGTGTAAGGGTTCCTCGGGCGGAGAGAACAAGATGGCATGGACGTGGATGCACTGGAGTTTTGTCCATCTGTGGAGTAAATGCTTCTCACCACATTCTCTCAATACAGACCTACTTTCTCTGGGTCTCCGCTAAAGACTGTGTTCACGTCCACCTGGACCTGACCCGGTGAGAACCCCAGCTCGATGCCCGTGCCCAGCACGCCGGTGTTGGCCTTGCAGGAGAGATTCAGGCTTTCCACCCCGGGGCAGGGTCCCCTGTATGCCCCCTGGGTCGGGTTGCAGCCAAGGCCTCCTTGCTTTGTCAGGCTGACTTCCACTACCTTGAGGGACTGTGTCCCAGGGGAGGGAGTGGTGGTGGCCTGGCCCCCTGGAAAGCTCTTGGCCCTCTCTTGCGTGGCATACCAGCCGGGCTGTGTTCCTACTGAAATCAGCTTCCCTGTTCACACAGGGCCTGGCTGCTTTCTCATTTCCCAACGCCAGCTCTCACTATTGCTCCCCAACCCACCACCCGCTAAAGGGTCACAGGCCTCTTTGTCCCTGCCCCCAACCCCAAACAGGTGCGGTCTCATGTTCACGCTCACCACCAACCTGGCCATCTGGATGGCAGCCGTGGTGGATGAATCCGTGCACCAGGCCCACTCCTACAGCAGTTCTCACGGCAATGCCAGCCACACCCGTCTCGCCTCTGACCGTGAGTTTCATCTCAATGCTGGCCCTGTGGCTACCAGGCCTGGGGCCGGGTGCTTTCTGAATTTGTAACATCAGTCTCTCATTCCCTCATAAGGGCATAGAGGCAAAGGAGAGAGCCCGGGGGCTCCTCCTGCTGCAGGATTTACCTCTGCAGTATAAATGTAGGTGACTCCAGAAGGGGAGTATCGGGGGCGTCCTTTTCTCCTTGAGGCTGCAGCCCTGGCCCCCCAACCGGTCTCCATCCCGCCAAGAAGGGACCAACCCAGGACCAAGTGCAATGGCTCATGCCTGTAATCCTAGCACATTGGGAGGCCAAGGCAGGCAGATTGCTTGAGCTCAGGAGTTCGAGACCAGCCTGAGCAAGATGATGAAACCCTGACTCTAATTAGCCGGGTGTGGTGGTGCATGCCTGTGGTTACTATGGGAAGCTGAGCTGGGAGGATCGCTTGAGCCCGGGAGGTCGAGACTGCAGTGAGCCATGATTGTCCTGCTGCACTCCAGCCTTAGTGACAGAGTGAGATTCCATCCAAAAAAAAAAAAAAAAGAAGAAGGAGAAGAAGAAACCCTCGGTTTCTTCATCTGCAAAGCCAGCTGGGCCAGCTCTCAGGATGAAAAGAGACATTTGCCAAGCCCCAGGGTACCCTATCCTACAAAGCACATTCTGGAGTCATGGCTCCTTTCCATGTGGTACAAACAGAAGTGACAGGGCGGTCATGTGGAGAACTGGACGTTGCCGCTGGCTTTCCGGGCTGAGTCAGATGGTGCGGAGGGCCGTGAGGAAGCTTGAACGTTAAAGATTCCCAAGAGGGCCACTTTCCGTCTCAGGGAGCCAGGGCTGGAAGGGATGGAAGGAATTGAATGGGGTGAAGTGCGTAACCCTGTGGTTTAGACTGTTCTTTTTTTTTGAGATAGAGTCTCCCTCTGTCGCCCAGGCTGGAGTGCAGTGGTATGATAGCTCACTGCAACCTCCGCCTCCTGGGTTCAAGCGATTCTCATGTCTTAGCCTCTCAAGTAGCTGGAACTACAGGCACATGCCACTAGGCCAAGCTAATTTTTGTATTTTTAGTAGAGATGGGGTTTCATCATGTTGGCCAAGCTGGTCTCAAACTCCTGACCTCAAGTGATCTGCCGGCATTGTCCTCCCAAAGTGTTGGGATTACATGTGTGAGCCACTATGCCTGGCCCAGACTGTTCTTACTGAGCACTGGTGTGTCCCACAGTCTCTGGCACACAGTAGGTGCTCAAGAAATATTTGTGAAATGAAGGAGTGTGCCACACCCTGTGAAGGTATGAGGGATACCATGGTGAATATAGCAGTCGTGACAGGCAGGAACCCTGCCTTTACAAAGGTCACAGGGTAGGGCGGGCACAGAGGCTCACGCCTGTAATCCCAGCACTTTGGGAGGCCAAGGCAGGCAGATCACCTGAGTTCAGAAGTTCGTGACCAGCCTGGCCAACATGGCGAAACGCTGTCTCTACTATAATTACAAAAATTAGCTGGGCATGGTGGCGGGCTCCTATAATCCCAGCTACTCAGGAGCATCACTTGAACCCGGGAGGCAGAGGTTGCAGTGAGCCGAGATCACGTCATTGCACTCCATCCTGAACAAGAGTGAAACTCCATCTCAAAAAAAAAAAAAAAAAAAAAAAAAAAATGGGCCGGGTGCGGTGGCTCAAGCCTGTAATCCCAGCACTGTGGGAGGCCGAAGTGGGTGGATCACGAGGCCAAGAGATCGAGACCATCCTGGTCAACATGGTGAAACCCTGTCTCTACTAAAAATACAAAAAAGTAGCTGGGCATGGTGGTGCGTGCCTGTAATCCCAGCGACTCAGGAGGCTGGGGCAGGACAATTGCCTGAACCCGGGAGGCGGAGGTTGCGGTGAGCCGAGATCGTGCCATTGCACTCCAGCCTGGCACTTGGAGACAAAGCTAGACTTTGTCTCAAAAAAAAAAAAAAAAATTGATCACAGGCCAGGGGTGAGACCTCTCTAGGAAGGTGAGAAGGCAGTCCAGTCTCGTGTCTCTCTCTCCGCAGCAGAGCGTGCAGGCAACGCAGTGGGAGGAGACTCTTGCCTCTGCAGCACGGCCGTCTGCCAGATCTTCCAGCAGGGGTACTTCTACCTATACCCCTTCAACATCGAGTACAGCCTCTTCGCCTCCACCATGCTGTATGTCATGTGGAAGAATGTGGGTAGATTGCTGACCTCCACCCCTGGCCACAGCCACACCCCATCCCCGGTCAGCCTCTTCCGGGAGACCTTTTTTGCCGGCCCAGTTCTGGGTCTGCTGCTCTTCGTGGCGGGGCTGGCTGTATTCATCATCTACGAGGTTCAAGTGAGCGGGGAGGGGGGCCGCACCCAGCAGGCCCTGGTCATCTACTATAGCTTCAACATTGTCTGCTTGGGACTCACGACCTTGGTCAGCCTGAGTGGCTCCATCATCTACCGTTTTGACCGCCGGGCCATGGACCACCATAAGAACCCCACGCGCACCCTGGACGTGGCCCTGCTGATGGGTGCCGCCCTGGGTCAGTACGCCATCTCCTACTACTCCATTGTGGCCGTGGTGGTGGGCACGCCCCAGGACCTGCTGGCAGGGCTCAACCTCACACACGCGCTGCTCATGATCGCCCAGCACACCTTCCAGAACATGTTTATCATCGAGAGCCTTCACCGAGGACCACCCGGAGCTGAGCCTCACAGTACACCCCCCAAGGAGCCCTGCCAAGGCCTGACCTTCACCAACCAGGACGCCCTCCACACCTTGCCTGCCTGCCCACCCAGCCCCGGGCTGGTCAGCCCCAGCCCTGCAGACCAGCAGGAAGCAGTGGGCATCGTCTCAACCCCCAGAAGCCACTGGAGACGCCGGTGCCTAAAAGACATTGCTCTGTTTCTCCTGCTCTGCAATGTGATCGTGAGTAGCTGTGGGGAGCAAGGGATGGGCTTGGGAGAAGAAGAGTCTGAGGAAGGATCCTCTTGCAGGTTTAAGCACTTAGCCTTCTCTGTCTTGCCCGCAGCCCACCTGAGAATCTTACAGCTCTCTAGGAAAGGAGCAGGTTCAGAGGGGGTCAGCCGTAGTTTGGGGAAAATGGCATCTCAGGGCACACAGAGAATATGAAATCCTAGCATTCTGGCATCTAGGCACCGGATAGAGCTGGAGGGGTCCCAGGGAAGGTTGACACAGGGACTGGGCGGAGGTGAGAGGAAGCTGAGAGCTGATGTGGAAGGTGGGGGGCCCTCACCCCCCGCTGGGAAGTGTGACTGCCCCTGGGAACTCGTGACCTGCCTGCTTCTCAGAATAATTGGAGCAGCATCAGGAAGTAGCGGAGACCAGCATAAGTGTGAGCAGTCTGTTAGCAGAGTGAAGTGGCAGGCCAGCTGGGAAGGAGGGCATCTACAACAGTCACCCCCTCCCCAGTGACTCAGCAAAGATTAAGAGCAACAGACTTGTCCAGGCACAGTGGCTCACGCCTATAATCCCAGCACTTTGGGAGGCCGAGGCAGGAAGATCACATGAGGCTGGGAGTTCAAGACCAGCCTGACCAACATAGTGAAACCCCCATATCCACTAAAAATATAAAAATTAGCCAGGCGTGATGGTACACGCCTATAATCTTAGCTACTCAGGAGGCTGAGGCAAGGGAATTGCTTGAACCCAGGAGGCAGAGGTTGCAATGAGCTGAGATCGTGCCACTGTACTCCAGTCTGGGCAACAGAGCAAGACTCTGTCTCAAAAAAAAAAAAAAAAAAAAGAAGACCAATAGACTTCACCCAATACAAATATGTTCTCTATATAGAAGCATCCCAGGGCAGAAACACTGGGAATGAAGGTGCACCCCAATAGAGAAAGACTCTTGATGTTTCTAGTACAACCCAGGACAGAAATGGCCCAGTGGGGCTTACAATTACCTCTGATACAGAAACATGTACCTATGTGGGTACATCTCAAAGAGAATAAAACACTTCTAATGAAGTTTCACTCAATAGAAAAACAGTTCTTTCAGCTTTAACCTGCAATAGAAAAATATCCCTAATATAGAAAATTACTCAATGTGGGTATATCCCACAGAGAAAGATCCCAGAGTGAACTCTACCCCATGAAATCCTGCCTGCATGAGGTGAACCAGCAGCCCTAACTACGAGCTGTTCTTAGTGAGTCCCACTGTGAAGGGCCATCCTCCAGGACATGGTACCCATAGATGTAGGATGATGCCATGCAGGAGCCTTCCAACAGAGTTAATTTCACTTAAACAAACAAAAAAAAAAAGGCCAGGAGCGGTGGTTCAGGTCTATAATCCCAGCACTTTGGGAGGCCTGGGAGGCCTGGGAGGCCGAGGCGGGTGGATCACGAGGTCAGGAGTTCGAGACCAGCCTGACCAACATAGCGAAACCCCATGTCTTCTAAAAATACAAAAATTAGCCAGACGTGGTGGCATGTGCCTGTAATGCCAGCTACTCAGGAGGCTGAGGCAGGAGAATCACTCGAACCTGAGAGGCAGAGATTGCAGTGAGCCGAGATGGCGCCTCTGCACTCCAGCCTGGGCGACAGAGTAAGACATGTGGTCATCAATCTCTGACCCTATCAGTAGAAGCAAAAGGCCCACCTTAGCATGTCTTGGACCAGCTTTGGTGCCTGTCCCCCTGCCCTCTGGCCCTGACCCCACCTTCCACCCAGGCCTGGCTTCTGGAAGGGCCACCTTCTGGGAGGCTATTCTTGCTCCAGGTATCTGAGCCTAATCACCTCCAATAGCATCTTCTCCATCTCCTTCATTTTATAGGACAGAACAGGCTTAGAGTGCCTGCTGAGACTGCAGTGTGTCCAAGGACAGTTAATTGGGGGTAGGGGTGGGGCTAGTCTAAAAATCTTCGTTCTTTGCTTCTTACTCACACCTGAACCTTCTGAGCTCATAGCCAGAGAGAAAGCAGGATTCCAACATCCACCTCCTCCCAGCCCTGGGAAGGGAGAAGGGGATGAGGAGAGAGCTGGAGGGCAGAGCTCAGGAAGGGACAGCGTGGAGTGGCCCTCTGCCTGAACCCCAAACCCCTCCCCTTAGGCTATCTGATTCTGCCACCCTCACCCCTGTGCACACAACCCCCCAGGACAGAGCTGCTGATTTCACTGTTTGTACCTCTTCTTCTAGTGAAACCTCTTCTCCCCTCCCCGATCCCACACTGAGACCCTGCTAAGATTTTGGAAGAGGCGATCACAGGTGGACTCCTAGCCTGGGGATGACAAATTCAGTTGGGCGTACTTCCTGAGCCCCTTAGAGAGTGTCAGGTCCTGTCCAAAATACTGGAGCTGCCCATTCACTGACACCCAGCCCTCCCTGTCCACCAAGCTAGAAGGATGGGCTCCCATCTTGCCACAGCCCAGCAAAGCCCACAGAAATGACCCACAGGCTTCCATCTGGGCCGGCTCCTGAAATCCTCCCCTCTCCTCACAGCTGTGGATCATGCCCGCCTTCGGGGCCCGCCCTCACTTCAGCAACACAGTGGAGGTGGATTTCTACGGCTACTCCCTGTGGGCGGCCATCGTCAACATCTGCCTCCCTTTCGGCATCTTCTATCGTATGCACGCCGTCTCCAGCCTGCTGGAGGTCTACGTGCTGTCCTGAGGCCTCCGACAGAGACATGGCAGGGAGCGGGAAGAGGAGACTGAGCTCCTGTGCCTGTTCAGACATCCTCTGGGAATGAATCCCAGCTGGTGCCATATGACAGCCCATTGTCTGCTGGTCCCAGAGTGGAATTTTCACAAAAGTTATTTTTCCAGGTTGAATTTTTAAATCACAATCAGGACAGGCCCATCCACCCCAGTATGACTGTGGGGCAGGAGGTGGCTGGGGAAGGGAGACCTCTCCTGGCAGCATTTCTAGGACCAGCAGGATCTGGAAGGGCTGGCTCCGGCTCCACCTCTAATCCTGCCCTGGGGCCTGGCCAGTGCACTGCCTGGAGCTGGAAACCAATAAACCTGTGCTTTTCCCCATCCTCACTGTTTGTCTCTGTTGTCCCATCTGAGATGGTCATAGGAGAGGATCTTGGGGTTCGGAGTGGGAAGGGTGCCTGGAGATTTTCAGATCTCAAGTTTTGTAACGTGTAAGCAAAATCCAAGTGACAGACTACAGAGCAGGTAACCGGAGTTCCCAAACTGCCATCTTCCTTTTCCCTTTATCTCCAGGTGATGTATACAAATAATCATTTTTTATTTTTTTGAAACGGTCTCACTTTTTTGCCCAGGCTGGAGTACAGATAGCTCACTACACCCTCAACCTCGTGGACTCAAGAGACCCTCCCACCTCAGCCTCCTGAGTAGCTGGAACTACAGCTACGACTGCCACCACGCCTGGCTAAATTTTTTTGGCGTGTGTATTTTTTGTGGAGATGGGGAGTCTCACTTTGTTGCCCAGGCTGGTCTTGAACTCCTGGGCTCAAGTAATCCTCCCGCCTCAGCTTCCCAAAGTGCTGGGATTACAGGCATGAGCCACAGCACCCAATCTAATCATTTTTTTATGTGTCCCATGACACAAGAAAGTTTAGGAAGCAGTGACCTAGTCTAATGTCTGCATTTTACAAAAAAGGACGCTGAGGCCCAGAGAGGTAAAGTGACTTGCCCAAGGTCACATAGCTACAAAAAAACCAGAGCCTTTCTGCTAGGAACAATAATTTTCAAACTTTGTTTTCAAGCAGATCGTTTTTTCCCTTCAAATAAAATACTACAGGAATCCAAGTTTATAACATAGATATAGGCCAGGCGCGGTGGCTCACGCCTGTAATCCCAGCACTTTAGGACGACAAGGCAGACGGATCACTTGAGGTCAAGAGTTCGAGACCAGCCTGGCCAACATGAAACCCTATCTCTTTAGCTGGACATGGTGGTAAGCACCTGTAATCCCAGCTACTCAGGAGGCTGAGGCAGGAGAATCGCTTGAAGCCAACAGACAAAGGTTGCAGTGAACTGAGATCGAGCCACTGCACTCTAGCCTGGGAGACAGAGCAAGACTTCATCTCAAAAAAAAAAATAAAGATATAAACAGGGCAGTTCTAGTTTAAGAGGAGTCGGGAGACTCAGATCCTCACCACCTGGGGCCTCCCCTGACCTCCCCTTGCCCCAGGAGTTCCACTAGGAGCTTCCCCTAAGTCCTGGGGATTCTACTCTACAAAGGATATAGAGATGCTTAGGATGGAAGACAGCAGAGAGAAGGGAAGGAGGCTCCACAGTTAGAAGAGTGAAAGGTGGGAGTGGCCATGCAGAGTCAGGGGGAGGGGAAGGGCTGGGTGGGACCCACGGAGCAGATGGCATTTGGGGGAGGGCATGGGAACAGCAGCACCTGGAGTTCAGGGGACTTTGAGGAAAGTGTGCCCGGACCCTGTCGGCAGAAGGAGGTGAGTAGTTCTCAGAGGCTGCAGGTGGAGCTGAGGAGGCCTCCTGCCCCGTCAAAATGGGGCTGTGCTCCAACTCTCCCCATACCAAGTTCAGGTTTGACTTAAGGGAGATACAGGGTCCCGCCAGGCAGCCTCCAGGCCTGGGACTAGGTAGGTCACAGAAAAAAAGAGACTCCTGGCCTGGAGTGAGGGCGTCCATTCCCAGCTTTATCACCGAAGGAAAGCCAGGACTGAACCCCACAAGCTCTTTACTTTGGGCCTAAGAACACTGCACCCCTCTCACCCCACCCGAGGACAAGGATGGGATGCGAGCTGGAGACCCTGCCTGCCCGCACCTGCACCGCCCTCGGCCCCGCCCACTTGCCCAGCTGCTTCACAATTGGCTGCACCCTCTGGGTCCGAGCCCCCGGCAGGGTAATTAAAGAGGGATTAATGAGATTTCCAAAGTCAACAGAAAAATCGATGGGCCGCGGAGTCCGAGCGGCGGCTGCGCAGTCCTGCTGGGGGAGGGCGTCGGGGGCATCGGTCTCACCTGGGGATTGACGACCCGATCCGCACAGCGCCCGCAGTCGGTGCTTAGCCGGCGGCGATGCCTGTCCCGGCCTCAGGTAAGCCCGGAGCGCCGGCGAAGCTTTCCCAGCCAGAGCCCCCTAGACACTGGCACACGCTACGCCCCCCAAAGCCGGGTTCACGAGTAGGGGCTGCAGGGATTTGAGCGGGAGAGCGGGGTGACTGTGGAGAGATCAACTCCCTTTGATCTGAGACCGGCCCCTTGCCCGCCCCTCAGCCCGGGCTCTGCGCCTCTACTCCTTTCCGTGAACCTGGGCCGCACGAGGGCCGCAGGGCGCGGCTCCTCCCGGCCGGGCCCACACAGCAGAAAGTGGGTGCGGAGGCCTGGGGCGTGGGGTTGGTTGGGGCTGTCTAGGCGCCCGGTCTAGGGTACGCTCAAAGCGGCTGCCCCCCAGCCCCACAGTCCCTTAAATGGCTCGGAAGGAAATTCCGAGGGCGCCCGCGATCAGCAGCCTCCTGGGAGCTGGCCCTGAGTTCCTGGGCCCGACGGCTTGGGCTTCGGCTTCGCGGCTTTCATCACCACCGCCTCTAACCGAGACCCACAAACCAGTTCGGTGTCCTGGCCCTCCCTTGGACTGGCGTCGTGCCCAGGGGCGTGCCAGGGGGCGGCGGAGTCCTCCTTGTCAGTTCCAGGCGCCCTAGCCCTAGCCCTCTGCCTGAGACCCCTACATGCCCACTCCGGCCCCCTGCCCAGCCAGGGACTAAATTCGCCTCTTTGAGGGCTCACTCCAGCGGCCTTTGGAGGGTTGGCCCCCAGGGTGGGAGACGTGGGAGAAAGACCCCAGAGGGAGAGAACCTGGAACCTTGTCCCCCAGTGTCCCCTCCAGTCTGAGTAAAACCCATTCTTGAAATTCACCAATAATCCGGACTCCTCCCAGCTCTCCAGGACCTGAAACGAACTGGAAGGAAATGCAGAGACAGCTAATACTGCGCTTTCTGGGCGCCAGGCATTACTCTCTACTGTGCTTGCATGTATTAAATCATGTAAATCTGACAAAGCCCCTATTTGGTACTAATCCCTTCCTTTATTCGTTCAGTACTTTTTTTTTCTTTTGAGACAGGGTCTAACTCTGCCCCTCAGGCTGGAGTTCAGTGGTGTGATCACAGCTCACTGCAGCCTTAACCTCCCAGGCTGAAGCAATCCTCCCACATCAGCCTCCCAGGTAGCTGGGACTACAGGGACATGCCACCACACCTGGCTAATTTTTTGGTATTTTTTGTAGAGGCAGGGTTTTGTCATGTTATCCAGGCTGGCCTTCAACTCCTGGGCTCAAGGGATCTGCTTGCCTCAGCCTCCCAAAGTGCTGAGATTACAGGCGTGAGCCACTGAACCCAGCCTTGCTCAGGAAGTCTTTATTGAGCATCTACTATGCACCAGCTACTATTCCATAGTTGTGTATTCGTTTTGCAGATGACAGCACTGAGGCACAGAGTCTACGTAGCTCTCTGTAGTAGTCTCAGTAGTCTAAGATGACAGAGGTAATAAGTGCTGGAATCTTGGCTCTTGATCATGTCTACCCTGCTTGGGGGCTGGGGGAGAGGGTTTTGGGGAAGGCGAAGTAGAGCAGTTAGGGTTGGGAGATATGGAGCAGGGAGGCAGCCCTGTGAGCCCCAGCCTTGTTCAACTAGGAGGGAAAAATAAAGATCATCTGGAGTCTCCTCCCCTGCCAGCCTGGAAAGAGTTTTATGGGGAGGGTCTCTGTCCACAGCTCTGGTGCTGAAAATTCTTCTGTAGAAGACTACACAGTCAGTGGGCAAACACTGAGTGAATGTCACATCTGTGCTAGGTTTCAGGGTCTGAGTTAAGCAGGGCCCGGTCTCTGTCCTGGAGGAGTTCTGGGCCTTAATGAGAGCCAGCTACACCCACAGGACACCAAACAGGGCACATCTACTCTCAACAGAGGGGAGTGACCCCAGCAAAGTAGTACCAGAAGGCTTAGGCAGAGAGAAAGGCTTTCCAGGTGGGTGGGGAGGATAGGCAAGTGGTGGGCAGGGAAAAAAGAAGAGCAGTGTCCAGGAGGGATGGCAGGAGGCAGGAGACCATGGGAGAAATGCAGAGCTCTCTACATGGGCCTGGGTGGGTGTGGGTGGCAGGCACCTTGAGTGCGACAGGGGAGGTGGGTGGGGACAGAGAGGGGACAGAACTTGGGCAAGGATGACAGAGTGGACTGGGAAAGGGGAAAAAATCATTTGTAGAATCTCAAAAAGAGGCTCAAGTTTGAGTGCTCCATCTGCCCCTGAAGAGAACAGCAGAAGGTATAAATTTGAAGCAGGTGGGTGAGCAGGGGAGAATGGGAGCTTGGAGAGGTTGCATTTTCAAGCCAGATATGGTGAAGGTCTTCTGGTGCTGCAGAGAGGGTGTGTCTGAAGCTCCTGAAGCCCGGGGTCTCAAGGGAGAGACAGAGCAAAGCACAGCTAATGGAAGCAGAGGACAATGGGTGATCAGCACGGGGTGCGGGGGGAGTGCTGATCAGGGAGGGCTGCGGAGACAAGGCGGAGTATCTGCCGAGTCCTGAAGGACAAGCTAGAGTTAGCCAAGGGCTGAGAGGGGTAGGCATTAAAGGCAAAGGATAAGGTGTGGGCAAAGACTGGGGGCATTCCAGGAAAGGCAGCAAGATGGTGTAGCCCAAGGAGAGGGGAGTAGGGTCTGAAGATGATGCTGGAGAGCCAAGCTGTAGCCAGACCAGGAAGCAGCAGCAGCTACCCTGCCTTGGGCAGAGAACCTGGAACCTTGTCCAGGTCCATGCTAATCATACACCTCTCATTTTGAGAGGCCATGCAGGCTGTGTCATAGTTTGGACTTTATACTGAGGGCAGTTGGTTGCCTCTGCAGGACTTTCAGTAGGGGAGAGGTACTCTGGGCAGGGAGCCCAGTCCAAGAGAGTGAGGAAGGGGGCCCAGACCAGGTAGTGGTTGATGTCAAGAAAAATCCAGTCCAGGTACAGTGGCTTACACCCGTAATCCCAGCACTTTAGGAACCTGACACAGAAGGATCACTTGAGGCCAGGAGTTCGAGTCCAGCCTAAGCAACA